CAGTGAGAGTGAAATCATTTCTGAGGAGACAGTATCATCATAATGCAATATTAGCTGCTCTGATCTTCTATCATTTCCTTCTCAGAGAGTTATGACTGTGGCATTGAGGATTTAAGACCTACAGCCTGAACACTACTTACTACAAATCTCCCACAAAGCTGCTGCAATAAATCTCATACAGGAAAGTCATTGCATAAAAAATCCCCAACTCCAGGGAGCTAGCCATTTATTTTCCTAGAAAAGGGGCTGTGAGGAGAGACACTCCATGCACATTTAACTCCATGGAACAAAACCCAACAAAGCATTCATCAGAGAAAGCTGAGTAATGGGCCCAGTAAGATTGACTGAGGGAGAAAGATGGAAGAAGAAGTGCCCCTTCCAAGACCTGCTCTTTTTCCTGCCTTCAACCCAGGGGATTTCCTAGCCTGCATAGGATCAGCATGGCTGAGGGTGTATGGTTCTATAGTGGAACTCTACCAACAAATGTGCTAAGCTAGGGACCTACAACCAAGATTTATCTACTTTTCAGACTTACTTAGTCTAGACAGTACTTAAAATTTTTTTTGATAGCTTTCAGTATCAAAATTGAGAATCTTACAAAAAAGATAAATCCTAGATTTTTGTCTTCTGTAAACAAATCTGAACACCTGACAACAGTGAATCATAACCATATTCCTACCCACTTTAGACAGTGTGTGCATGCTCCCAGTTGTCACATTGCTTTTTTTTTTTTTTTAACCTTGATTTCCCTGTAAGGAAAGGAGTTTGCAATCCTCATACTAATCCCTCAGTCTGGGGGCTGTTCTTTCACTCTTCCTCCCTATCTCTCTCCTTGCAGCAGAAGTGTTTTCATCCCTTCCACCTAAGCCAAGGTATCACATACATGTAGAAGCAATTTCTTCTTCTAATGTGGCAGGGATGCAACCTGCTCTAAAGCAAAGAGCTTGGGTCGTGCCTAGAGGCAGAACTCAATCCCTTTCCTCCCTTATTCTGGAATATTGTCCAACTTGCTCAGTCTCTTGAAATCTAGGTTGCTTGCAGGCAAATGAATGTAATAGGATCTCCCACCAGGACATTTGTGAGGACTAATGTGGTAAAGCATAGAATGTGTCTAACACTGTGGACGTGCTATCTTCTCTGACAGAATGCTCTCTGTTCACTCTTTTTCAGTTTCTTTGCTTTAGCTTCCCTGTTTCCTTTGAAGGCCCTCATTCTTTGCTGAGCATCCCTACATGTCAGTGTTTGTCAGGGTTCCTTCTTGCCCTCACACTCCCCTATTCCATTCCTGTATGGTTCCCTCTGTCTTCTGGAGGAACACACACACTCACACACACACACACACACACACACACACACATCAGTAGATTATAGCACAATATGACTTATTTTGCTTTTTGTCAGTTATCATTACATAATTACACACACTTTTTTTCTTTGCTATGACACATTTTTAAAGATAAACATTTAATGGCTACATCTATCCCATTGCCTGAGTGATTATGATTTACCTAATTATTCCTTTAATATTGGATATTTATGTTAGTCTAATGCTGAAAGGCAAGGATGCTAAGAATGTTTCACCTGACATTTTCCTGCTTTGATATTTTTTCTGGGTATAGTCTAAATTTTTCCACCATATTTTTCTTTTAGCCTTTTATTATTTTTCTTTCTCCAAGATTTCGGGGGTCTCATATGTTCAGAGATACTGATGTTTGGGGATTTGATCTGTTTTTTTTTTTTTTTTGGTACAGGGGATTGAACTCAGGACCTTGCGCTTGTGAGGGAGGCAGTGGTACCACTGAGCTAGACCCCTGGCCTGGAATTTGATCTTTTTAAATAAAACTTAATAAAGCTTAGTGATTCATAAATTTTAAAAATTAAATAATTATTTATATGTAATGAGCCAGATTATTAATCTAGCAGTGCAATTTTCCTTACTCTCTTCCCCCAGCCAAAAGGAATCTTCTGATAGCCAACATTTTTTTTTTATCTTCCCTTGTTCAAGAAAAGGTAACATAATAAATGGATGGAGCAGAGAGAGTGGGAAGAGAGAGAAAAGAGCTGCTGGAAATAGAATGTTGGATGAGTGTTAAGGGGCATGGGAAGAGAAAGAAACTAGAGAAACCCAAGAAAAGTAGACAAGCAAGGAAATTGAATTTTAGTAGGTAGTGCTGTACATGTGGATTTACTTTAAAAATGTCAGGTGAAAAAATGGAATTCTGCTGGGTGTGGTGGCACATGTGTGTAATCCCAGAATTTAGGTGGCTGAGGCAGGAAGATTACCATGAATTTGAAGCCATCCTCAGCTACATAAAATGAGTCACTTGTCTAGAAAAAAAAAAAAAGGAATTCCCTTTCACTCACCTTTGATGATTATACAGTATTCCTTGAGTGCAACATCATTTTGAGGCAGAACTACTTGGATTAATAAAAATTGTAATATATTTATGTTTCCTTTCTTCTCCAAAGTATTAGTGATGGCTTACAAAAATGTATTAAGTGTAATGTAGTAAAACATGAAGTGGGAATATCTGAGCAAATAAAAAAATAAGAATAGCAAAATTACAATAAAGCCAGAGATAATGTTAGTACACAAAATTCTGAGGTCTGGTATGTTTGCAAAAGGTGAGACACCTATCTAACATTGAGCTTCCTAGCAAGGAGTGTAAAGTGGCCTCATTTACAATGTACAAAGATAAAAATCAAATTCCTAGAAGTGAGAACGGAGAGGAACTTCTTCCTGTGTAATCTTCAAGAAAATACTTTGTGACACAGCCTTTGACAACCTGTCTATATAAGGGTCCCAGACAAATTATTTTATGGCTTCTCAAAAATGATATCCCTCCTTGTAGGTTAATGTCAAAACATCAGACACAACTAGCCAAAGCCAAATCAATTTTCTTGTGATTGGTTGACTTGATCCAAAAAGATAACATTTTGACAGCTCAGACAGGTGGACTATACATTCTTTAGACAATTCTTCATAAATATTAGTTTCTCCAACTGGAATTTGCATGAAGATTGTACACTGGAAAGTTTAAAATGTATTCTCTGGTGTCAACTGGAAGGAGAAAGTCTATGTTGTCAGTATAGAAAACAGCCATATGTTCTGACAATCTACTTGTCAGAAAGTGCCTAAATATGCCTTTGGAACCAAGGAGCAACAATTTCAAGGGGGTTTAAAAAAGTGAATGTCTAAGGTCTTTACAGATATGTGAAAACCTAGGTAGAACAAAGTCTTTGAAAGAAAGGATAGTTTGTCTTCCCTATTCATATGGCTAATCCTGTAGAGTCAGAGAAAAGAGCATATAGGTTAAGGAAGGAATAAGTCTTGTCCACCTGAGAGAAAAATGTTAATTTGGAATTCAAAGAGGAAGTTTTGGATTCAGTTAATAAATTTTAAGTATAGTACTTGCAATGTGCTAGGCGTATGGACTTGACAGTGCTGTTGGTGCTGGGCAGCTTGGTGGCTGAATGGAATACATTGATAAAAAGTGAGAAAGAAAAAATCAGATTTTTTAGGGAAGTAGGGGACAGCCACAACCACTGGAAAGACTGCCAAAAAAGGAACCAGAGGGCTACTAGCTTTTTTTTTTTTTTTTTTTGACAATTTGACACAATTCAGTGAGGGGCTAGATGGCTTGGACTTTACCTCTCCTTATGAAATCATGTCCCACCGTAGGTCACCAGGGTAAATTAATGAAGGCCACTAGGTATGTTTGGAGAGTTCATTAGCCATCTGAAGCCAGCTGGCAGTACAGAAATATGCAATGAAATGCCTCAAAGTCAACTCAAAGTAATAAGCATTCTCTATAAAGTTCTAATAGGCTAATTCGTTTTTCCTCACTGTCATGTCTTCTTCACTTTTGAGCAGATTTAGCATTCTCTTCCTGTGGAAGATTAACAACCAGTCCTGTAAGTGGTACTATTACTGAAAGAGGCAGAAAGAGAATCATTTGCTACTTCTCTTTGAGGAGGCTGTTCATCTGCCCCTCGTCTTGTGACTGCTTGGTGTCTTGGATCCCAAGGAGATCGTAGAGGTTTCAATCTGGCCTCTTCTAAGATTTTGGAATCAAGAAATGATTAAAATGTACATAATCCTTCACCAAATTAGAGCAGGAGAACTATATCAATTTTGAATACTAAATAAGAAGGAAGTAAAGCTTTCCAATTGATTAACCAAGTTGGTTGACAAAAAAAATCTCCAATCAAGAGAGAAAGCAGATCTGTCGTTAGCTGCCTCTGGACTTTAACATTGAAATGCAGTGTTAAAGTATGTCAGAGAAGGAAGGCAGGTGTCAAGTTCTCAGCTTGTCTGTAGGAATAGCAACACAACTACGTCCAATTCTGTTTGAGTGTCCCGTTCTTAAATCCAAGTAAAGCGTGTAACAGTCACGGAGAGTGGAGGGAGGATTTTGGCTGCTTTTACATTCTGGAGCTCTGAGTCGTTTGTTTTCTTGGAAAAGAGAATGAAGAACAGCAGCAAAGGATCCAGACCACAGAAGAAAAGTTCTAGACTCAGGAATTTTGTAAGACAGAAAAAATTCAGTGTGGTGATGACTCTAATACAGTCCAAATTATCTTGTCAGAGGAAATGAAATTTCCTGTCTTTTGCGGTGCTGGGGATCAAACTTAGGGTTTCAGGCAGGTTAGGCAAGCACTCCACTACAGAGCTACAACCTTAGTCCCTGGATATGAAATTTTCATCGGAAGTAAAACTTCAGGAACTCAGGAGAGTTTGTAAATCGAGCAAAATTACAATTCAGCTGTGTCCTTACACTCTTCAGAAGCACCCAGAATACTGTCCTTTTCATTTCCTCGACTGAAGTTGCTGTAGTACTAGAGAGGTGGGGTTTTTTTTCTGGGGTTTTTTGGGGGGGGGCAAGTTTACAGTTCCATGTAAAGGGTTTGTTTTCCTGGGCGGCTTTTTCCAGGCAGCCACGCCTACTACCATCTTGTACCAGTGATTGGAAAAGTACTGGACTTCTGACCTGCACAACTAGGAACAAAGAGTTGGGTGGTGGTTTCTAAACGTGTCGTTGTGGTGATCTTTGTGGTAATTTGTTGGCAGTTATAGAAAACGAATACTCACGTTCTTCTTTCACGCCTCAGGGAAACAGCCTGAGACCCGTTACTCAGTGGCAGCTCCAGGAGAAAGGGCGTCCCAGGGTGGAGTGCCCATACCGCCCTCTGGTGTGGATCTCTGATAAAACAGGCATTCGTGAGTAGGAAGCTTTTCCCGAAAAAGGGGTCTGGTGGTCTGAAACCCGATGAACTGACTGTGGAAGTATCGATGCCAACCTAGTAGTGAAGTCTCTTCTCTTTACAGTCAAGCAGATCCAAATGAACAGTCAGTCCCACTACATCCGGAGTCCCTGAAGTGTGTAGTGAGAAATGACTGCACACAGTAACACACCATGAGCAATGACAGGACAAGAAAGTGGCTGCTTCCAAGGGACAGCTTATCCAACATCCCCATGCTCCAGGACACCGGCCACACAGGCATCCGGTGAGTTCCGGTGTCTGCTTGTGACTGCTTGGTAGCCCACTCCCACTGACCTCAGCTCCCTTGTGCTTTTTGACTCCCCCATCCAAGCAGACGGTCCTGGGGATGAAGCTTGTCTCCTCAGCATTGCTTCTCTCAAAGTCCTCCACCAGCTCATTTGGAGAATAGACCCTACACACATCTGGCTCAGACTTCACTCTCCCTTGCAAGGCCAGGCAACACCATTTACATATCTGCACACCAACCTTCCTTCTTCCTAGGCCCAGAGTCTCTGACATTCACGAGGGACTAAGGGCTGCCTTTGTAGAATTGCTGAGGTTACATTTATTCAGCTTTGTGCTGTGTGGGCCTTGTATGTGGTGTTGCTCAAGAGTGTTTTAAGAAGGTGAAAAAGAGATATAAATATTTCTAGGCAAAATGGAGTGCATCTCCCCAGGTTCACACAATTGCTTTTCATAGCCCCAAAGTGAAGCGGAGGGGAATTATCTGGTGCTTTTGTGTGCCACCCTCACGATGACCTTGTGAAGTTAACAATACCGTATGGGGGACCTTGTACTATTGGGGAGGTTAAGAGAGTAGATGACTTGTCCAAGACTGCAAGTAATAAAACTGTAGATTTGGGATTTGAATCAGATTATTTTGATTTTTTAAAATTTGTAGGCAGTATTATTTATTTTTAAGTAAGCCTTTTTATTTTAAAAACAGTTTTAGATTTACCAAAAATATGAAAATAGTACAGCAAGTTGCTATATATCTCACATTGTTTCTCCATTATTAATATCTGCCATTAGGGCAATGCCTTTATATTAATAAGCCAATTGGCATACATTACTATTAATGAAAGTTTGTATTTTACTCAGATTTCTCCAGTTTTCCCCTCATGTTCCTCTTCTGTTCTGAGAGCACACTCCAGATGCCACATTAAATTTATTAGCACGTCTCAGTTTCCTGTAAAGAGGACTTTCCTGGATTTCTATGACCTTGGAAGTTTTGACCTTTTCTTGAACTTTCCTTTTGATGACCTTGAAAGTTTTTAAACAATTTTTCTTTTTGGTACTGGGGATCGAACTTGGGACCTTGTGCTTGCAAGGCAGGTGGCGGCACCACTGAGCCAAATCCCTGGCCCTGACCTTGAAAGTTTTGAGGAACACCTGTCAGGTATTTTCTGGAATGTCCCTCAATTGGGATGTGTACACTGTTTTTCTTTCTTTCATGCTTAATTTGGGGTTACATGCATTGGGGAGAAAAGTCAGAGTTGAAAAGTAATTTTTATTACATTAAATTAAGGGTGCATACTACCACTGTTGATGTTGACCTTGATGGTTCGGCTGAGTTAGTGTTTGTCAGGCTTCTCCACTGTAAAGTTATTCTTTTCTCTGCTGATTTCATGGTGTACTCTTTGGAAGAAAGTCACAATGTGTAGTCCATATTAAAGGAGTGGGGAGTTATACTGTACCTCCTCAATAGCAGAGGCTATGCATAAGTTAGGTGCATATACATAAATTCTGCACAGGAGATTTTTCTATTTTTCTATTTGCCTCGATTTGTTTATTTATTTAACCATTTATTTCCATCAGTATGAATGGATGGATATTTATTCACCATTTTGGGTTGTGAGCCAATACTACTTCACTTATTTTTGTTGTATATAATTACATTTACAATTTTTATTTTTCACTTTTTCTTATGTGGTGTTGCTTAGATGGCATGGAGGTGGTCTTTAGCCAGGACCTAAGGTGTCAGACACTGGAGTCCTTTCCTGCCACAGCCCCTCCTATTGGAGGCTCCCAAAGGAGATAAATGCTGGGGCAAGGCCAGAAAAAGGAGCCCTCTTTGTCTCTAGAATAATCTCTGGGGTCTGCTGAATTGTAAGTTTCAGAAGTGATATGAAAATATAGCTTTTTTAAAAGTAGAGAATAAATATGTGCCCAAGATGTTATTTAACTTATTTGGTAGTAAGTAAAATTGGTTTTTTAGGGTGTTCTAGATAAACAGAAGCACCAGAATATTTTAGATTTTAGGGATTTGTCCAGTGCAGTTATGGAAACTGGCAAGTCCAAAATTTACAGGACAGGCTGGCAGTCTGGAGACCCAGGGAGAGCTGATGCTGTAGTTCAAGGCTGAAGGCTGCTGGCAACTACCTGTTGCTTGTGGAAAGTCAATATTTGTTTTATTCAGATTTTCATCTGATTAGGTGAGACCCATCCATTTATGGAGGGCAATCTGCTTTATTCAAAGTTCATCAATTTCAATGTTAATCTCATCCAAAAATACCCCTGCCAAAACATCCAGAATAATATATATATATATATTTTTGGTCCTGGGGATTAAACTCGGATCCTTGCGCTTGCGAGGCAGGTGGCAGAACCGCTGAGCTAAATCCCCGGCCATCCAGAATAATATTTGTTCAAATAGTTGGGAACAGTAGCCCAGCAAGTTGATACATACAATTAAAAATCACATGTGCTAAAGTTGACTCAGTGTATTTGAGGGATGGGATATTTGTAGAGCATTTAAAAAAGGAACATCAGAGTACAGTTAGATACAAAACTTGTTAATGTTCTATAGGGCAAAAAACCCACGACCTTTGATACTATCTACCTGTCAGGAATCATTTGCTTCTCTGCTAATTACAAATCTACAGATTAACATAGAATGTCACCGACTTTGAGCTCTAATTACTAGTAAATAGCAAAGTCATGAATGATACTTTCTTATAGGAAATTACATAATTCTTGGATGGGCCTTTTGAAGAGTAGTTCAGTATGACATTGAGAGGACAGGTTGACATCTGTTAAACTGATTGTGTTTGGGGTAATTTTTCCTACAATCTCACACCTAATGCTACCTTCTGCAGAGTTGCAAGAAAGCATTTTTCCAGCTGAGGTAAGCCTAATGGTAGTGGCCTGACACTCCAATCTGGGTTCCAGCCAAAGGAACAGAAAGTGGCTTTTTTGGGGGTGGGGAGAGTGCGTGAGATAGTCCCAGCTGTTTCTTACTCTATTAGTCAGGGAGAAAGAGGAGATTTGGAAGGGACATTAGCAATGGCAGCATCAGGGAAAGTCTAGAAAGAGTTTCAGAGAGTCTTAAAACTTTGGCTTCTTTTCTTCTCACACCAGAAGTACCATTTCTTGACATGGTGGGCCAAGCAACATCCAACCTGATCTGTTCATATTAACACCTTTTTCCTTCACAGAGGGACAGAGTGAATAGAACTGATTTTCCTAGAGAGAGGAAAATGCTCTTCACGACTTCCAAATTTAAATCCTATACAATAATGCTAATTTTTATTTAACGCCTTTTAGACTGAATGTGGAGAACGATGCTGTGCCTTGTAGTGTTTTACATTCCCCACTGCATCTGACCTTAGGCCTCACATACTGTTGGAATTTTGCAAATAGCAGCTGCAAGATTATAAGGGAGTCCTATGAGTCTGCTAGAAATGCAATCATACAGGAAGGAGAAAGTGTTTTGAGAAGGCTATTTGTGAGGCCGGGAGGGGGTGACTTGAGGACACAGTGCACCAGGAGAAATGGTATGCAAAAGCACAAGAAAGGCCTTTTATTTTTATTTTTAATTTTTTTATTGTTAAAAAGTGACTCAGATGGCAATACCAAATAATAACAGTTATGATGATACATAAAAAAAGAACTAAAGCCTGACAATGTCTGGCTTTAGATTATAAATTGGCTCATTATCAAGAAAAAATATTTATGGAAACACAGCAATGATCAATGGGCTTATTATCCTGTACTGGCAGCCAAGAAATCCTAAGACATAAGCATGTTGTAAAAATCAGGCAGTTATTTGTACAAGTGGTATTTGGTGCACAGCTTTGTAACAGGGATAATTTTCTTCCAAGATGAGTACCAGGGACTGGAATCGGACTTCAGGGTCCTGGTCTGATCGTCTGGAAAATAAGGCTAATTGGGATGCTCCCTTGGAGGTTTCCTTCATTAATGCTTGGCTGAGAGCTCAGAGAGCTTTCAGTAAGACTCCTCAGTGCTGTGCTTGGGCTTATTATTAAAATACAAAACCTCAGACTACTTAGTCTGTTTCACTTCTCTTTAAAGTCTCCCTGTTTTTCTGTTACATTAAGGCTTTTTTATTTGCCTATATTCACTGCCCATCTACTTTCTTCTTCAGAAAACTCCTTTTTTTATGCCTTGGAGCATTTTAAATATTATTTAGCATAGAATATATTGAAAGACTCAGATACCTGCAAGGTCACAAATGATAAAAGAGAATGTACCAGAAGACCAGCTGGAGCAATGCTTTCTACAACAAGCAAGTTGGGGGAAAGAATAAAGGGCTTCTGAAATGGAATCAGGAGCCTACATGTACTAAGTGTGTGCCTGAGACATGTTAGTCAGCTTCCCATTGTTGTTACAGATACCTGAGAAAATCACCTTAAAGGGAGAAAAGATTTATTTTGGTTCATGGTTGCAGAAGTTTCAGGACACAATTGTTTGGCCCTGTTGCTTTAGGCCTGATGGGAGGCAGTATATCGAGGTGGGGAGCATGAAACTACTTACCCCATGGTGACTTGAAAGCAAAGAGAGAGAAGGGGTTGGGATACTAATATGCCCTTCATTGGCATCCCCTCTCTCTCCCCAACAGTGACCTAACTTCCTTCCACCAGGTCCTACCTCTTAAAGGTATCACCTGCTCCCAATAGCATCACAGGCTGGGGACCAAAAATTGTTTTCATCTGCCTTGAGTCAGTGCTGCATGGGATGGTCAGAGCCCTCGCTGAGACAGGAAATTTGTCCTGGTGTTTATCCTTGAGTGATGAGCAATCCTGTCTTACAGGCACTCAGGGCTGGGCTGAGATCAGGGTGAAAGCCAGGCTCAGGTGGTGAGTGGGCTAGAAATCACCTGTCTGGATGTGGGGTGGTGACTGCCCCTGCGTCTACTGAGTGGGGCCGATGATGGTAATAAGTGAACCTTCAAATGCCATTAATTACGTACTTTATGCTGTAGTAAGTGCTATTCAATTAACTCATCACATTTACAACTCTAGGCTGTGTTATCAATTTCTGTTTTCCAAATGGGGAAACCAAGAATACAAAGTAAGAAACTTGCCTGAACTCACACAGTTAATGTAAGCAGCTGAGATGGGATTTGAATCCAGCTCAGAATTCATGCTTTTATTGACTACTTGTCATTCCAATGCCTGCTTGGGGAAGTTGAGACACTATGTCGATTTTTTTGTGGTCTAATGAGGTAGGCAAACCTTCATTTTAGGCTTTGGATATATAAAACTTTTAGAACCTAGTTTGAGGTGAAGGATTCTATGCTTATAAAAAAACCTTTCTTTTTGTGGCACTGGAGATTGAACCGAGAGGCACTCTACCACTGAACTATAGCCTCAGCCCTATTAAAATTTTTATTTTTTTAGAAAATGGTGAGATGAGGCAGTCTCCCTGAGTTGCCCAGGCTGCCCTCAAGCTCGAAATCTTCCTGCTCAGTCTCCTGGGTAGCTGTGATTACAGGAATGTGCCACTGAGCCTGGCCAATTGATTTTTTAAAATATTGCTGCTGATTATTATTACATTGGCTTCATTTGACATTAGTTTGTCTTTGGAAAGACAAATAACACAAACATTAAGAGCTTCCTTGTAGGCTATTTGGGGACTGTTGGTGGGTCTCAGTGAAATGTTTTCTTTTGGGAGGTTGCTCCCTAGACCCTTAGACACAGATCCTACTCCTTGGTCTTCTTAAGCATCAATCTCTGCACTGATTGCCTGCTCTCCTCCCACCAGCGACTTTCCTCCTCTTGACTGTCATTAGCTGTGGCAGCCTAATTTTATTGCTGAGTCAGACAATCAGCCTTAATTGCCTGTTTCCGCCTCCAGCTGTGTCTCTGCCTTGTGGGAGGGAAAGTCTCAGGGCTTGGTACACTGCCCAACTGGATCAGTTGCTCACAGTGGCTGTACAGGCCACCTATATGGTCTTCTGTAACTTCTGAGAACAAAGGTTCCCCATTTTCCTGGGCTAAGCCTGGAGGAGATGATGGTCTTATTCACACAGTAAGCCTCTCCAAATAGCCTGCTCACTCACCTTCCCTGCTTCCCTGCATCCTCCTCTAAGAGCTGGCCAGTGCTGTGTCCATGTCCTCTTTTTTTTTTTTTTTTTTGTACCAGGGATTGAACTCGGGACCTAGCACTTGTGAGGCAGGCAGTGGAACCACTGAGCTAAATCCCCCACCCACCATATCCTCTTTTTTTCCCTCCAGACTCATTCAATCTCCCTATTCCTTACACTGCTACTACCTTTGAGAGACTGACTTTTATGGACCCTGTGAAAGGATTCTTTTGCCTCCTGGCTCCTGGCTCCTGGCCTGGATCAACAAGTGAGCACTCCAGGAAGGAGACCCAAGGGAGGTGAGGACATTTATTCCCTGGTGCCCTCCCTGTGGGGTATCATCAGGTTCTTTCATGTGGAAGGTCAGAGCTTTTCTCCAGGGGACCTCTCTTCAGTAAGGGCTCCCTCCTCTTGTTTCTAGATTTTATGGATGATTGAATTATTGGAACTAATTCTTTATTCTTCCTGATGTCCACGCTCTTTTCCTGAATATGATTATGCAGTTAGTCCCATAAAAGGAGGGATGTATTGGCCTCTGCCCTTGGGCTAGACTCTATGTCTTGTTTGTCCATTGGAAATGTGGGTGTAGGTTTCAAGCCCAAGCTTTAAGAAGCAGCACATGTTTCTGTGTGCCTCTGCTGTGGGAAGAACTTTCCTGTGGCAACTGGCGCCTCTTCAGTCTGGCCCCAGAAGGAATACATGTGGAACAGACAAGAGCTCAGTTTGCAAAGAGAAGCCAAGCCCAGCTGGACAGCAGCTTGGAAGAGGGCCCCCAGCTGAGACCAGCTGACCTCTTCTTAACTCACATACCCATGAAAAATAGATGTGTATGACTGCATTCCACTAAGAGTATGTGATAAAGAGTGGTACTTTCTACTGTTATTTATACAAGCAATATTGTAATGTTTTCTTTTCATTCTGCTCCTACCTCACAAAAACTCCCTTTATTGAACCTTTGAAGAACTATCCTAATTAAAGTGTCATCTGTTTCCTCCAGTGACATTGAATGATACAAGCACTGAGCCGATTCCCCCTGCATCACATCACATCACATCACATTGCCAGAAAAGTACAAAATATGACACTTGGTACTCGCAACTTCCTCTTTCTTTCCCACTTTTTATTCAGTATTCACCTGAAACTCTGATCTAAGAAGCCGATGAGCTCTTACTCTACTCTTTTTGTGTATTGTTTTTAGAATGTCAACTTTTTATTTGGAAAAAGTTTCAAACATATATGCAAGTAGAGATAACATTATAATGAACAGTCAGGTACCCATGACCCAGGTTCTACAATAACTGACATTTTGCCAATCTTATTTCATGTTTCCCCTTTTCTTTTCTTTTTCTCTTGAAATCTAATGACCTTTTGATTTCTAGAGGAATCTAGAGGTTTGCTTGTGGTTCTGATCTTCTGTGATCTCTCAGCAGCATTTACAATAATTGTTCACCCTTCCTTCTCTGCTGATGCTATCTCCTGGTTCTCCTTTTATTTCTTCTGACTGCTTGTGTTTTCTTTTTATTTTTAAAAAAATCTTTTACTTTTAAAATTTATTTATTTATTTTGGTACCAGGGATCGAACTCAGGACCTTGTGCTTGTGAGGCGGGCAGTGGAACCACTGAGCTAAATCTCCAGCTTCTTTTTGATTTCTGACCTGACTCTTAGATGTTAGTGCTCCCAAGGGCTTTGGCCTTTCCTATTTTCCTTCTGTCTGTGCCAGTGATGGTGAACCTTTTACAGCTTTTGATGACATAGCCTGCTGCAGCATGCTTGCCCTAGGTTCGCCACTGCTGCTATGCTGTCTTTCAGAGTATTCATATCCATTCTCATGACCTAATCTGTGAAACTCTCTACTTCCTTGGACTATTCTTTTTGTCTATCCACTAAATGTTTGTGCCTGGAGTCTGAATGCATTTACGTTGAGCATGATCAAACCTAGTGACTTATCCTTGAACTTTCTCTTCTCATTTTCTGGCTTCTCTATCTCAGTTCATACCTTGCTTACTGCCCTGTCAGATAACCAGAGAGCTCATGCATCTCCTTGACCCAGATCTGACTATTCTGCTCTGGGAATATTTTTCTAGTCCTTCCCCTGTTTGCATTTCTACCTCGTAGGTTCAGGCCCTCATCATCTCTCACTCAGGAGATTCTAGTATTCTCTCTGACTAGTCTCAGTCTCAGAGTAGTTTCTTCTGCTAAGTACTGGCATCACTTTTCTTAAATCATGGATCTAATCATGCTAACCCCACTCCAATTTATAAATATTCCATGGCTTCATTTGGAATATACTTTGAATATACTTGGTGTGATATTAAAGCTTCTTCACTACCTGTCCTCATCTCACCCCTGGCAGAGTCTTTGACGTACCCTCTTCTTGAAATACATGGCCCTGTTTGTTGGTACCCTCATACACCATGTGCTGTAGTGTGGCCTTTGACATGCTGATCATTGTTGTGTGTGATACATTAAAAATGAGGTTGTTGTTCTCAAATAAAAGTTTTTAAAAGTGTCTTTTCACAACTCTTGAATCTTCCTTACCTTTCTGATATTTTTTTAAAAAAATTCTCATTTATATACCTTTATTAACAAAAGATAAAATATGAAATGAACACCAATGTTAGACTTTATCTTTTTTTTTTTTTGGTACCAGGGATCGAACTCGGGTCCTTGCGCCTGTGCAGCAGGCGGCGAAACCATGTTAGACTTTATTTTAAGCCATCCTATGTTAAGGAATGTGAAAACGAATTTTGACCTTTTAAAGAAGAAAAGAATTAGACCTACATATTTGCATTGCGGTTTTAATTTCATGCTAGTCTGAATCCAGATACCATATATATCCATAGTACAATATTTGAAAGTTTAGCTCAGATGCTCCTCTACTGCCACTGTTTCTGAGATGCTGACTTAAAACCACATTCTACAAGTGCTTTTTGATAGACTAGAAAATTGTTAAATAAAGGCACTTATGTCAGGGGCTTTTAAAAGGCTGTCTCATTCTATCAACATTATCTTCACAATGTTCATAGAAAAGGCTTGAGGATCATAGCAGTCTCAGTTACTGAGATTCCCACAAGCCATCCTTTCAAGTCTGAAGAAACCTTCAACTTCAGGTTTTACCCTCTGCACGTTTTAAAGTGACTCTTACCGGCAATGAAGATTCTAAGAGACCAACCTGCTAGGAATGAATAACCAGAGAGGGCTAATGGAGATCAAAGACACAGACACAGAAATAATTTAGAATGAGGGGATTAAGGGGTTCTTGCCTCTAGTGGACAAAGAGCCCTGAGCGTTTGGCTCACCTCACTTTTATTCACTTAGACAAGGGAGCAAGCAATTAGATTAATAGAAGATTCATCTGCTTCTTGTTATCTATAGCATGTACCCAGGTAAACATCCAGATCTCAGCTGTATTGACTGTTCTCTGGAACTTGCAACATGCTAGCATGCCCACATGTTGCCAAAGGAGCCACAGCTTGCTGTTTTTCTCTTTTGTGCTCCCAGAAAAGGTCAATTAGGCCTTAATTCTCATTATCTGGTCTCCTACAGAAGGTTGGGTAGCTTGGATGATCTACAAACTTTTAAAATTTAATATCGTAATTGTTACATAAAGGCAATCACAAATAAAAGAAGTAGTATCACAAGCAAAGGAATAGATTTCTATGGCTAAATCATGTTTAGCAGGGTAAAAGTATTGATTAGTCAATACTGACCTAAGGATGAGAAAATAAGTTTTTTTTTCTTCCATTCAAAGGCTAATAAATTTGGTTCTGCACATAAGGTTCAAGGAAATGTATTAAAAATTAAATGTAATAATCAAATAAAAATATATTTGTTACTTCACAGATTTATATGGGAGAATAAAGTTATTTACATGTTCTATATCCTTTCAGTTACCCAAAGACCAAGTTCGAAAAAATTTATTTTTTGTTTCAGACCATTGAAGACAAATGATTAAAAAACAATTACAATTACAGAGTTAAATTACTACTGCAACTACTAGCAGTTTAAAAAAAAGAAGTTCTAATTTTGAGAAAGTAACAAATCTACTTTCAAAGTGTGTAATACTATTAGATGAAGGGCTAGAAAAACTGAGAAAATAGGGACTTAACTGCTGAGTAGGAGACATTTTTGATAGGTAGACAACTAAGACCTTTCCCTATCACTAATGTAAAATTAGATTATTTCTACTCTTACTCCATACTTAATGTAGTTTCTCTTTGGTTTTCTTTGTTTTGTTTCTTCAGTGTGGAAAGCAATAAATTTACCTTGAGACTTCTGAAGCTTTATAAAAGTTAGGCAGCAAGAAGAGTAGGCAAAGATTCTTCTGCCTACAATTATCAAGAAGCTGAACAGAGCATGTCAATTGTGTCTGTCCTAGATGACCGTTCATGTCTAGTTACTATTGTCCAAGGAAAGAGGCCATGAGGTCATCTGGTCTCTGACATTTCATTCTATAGGCCTCCATTTCCCCTTTAATAGGCTCCCAAATTTCATATATGCTATTGTAAGGTTGCTTCCTCTCATCAATCTGCATGATATCCTTGACTTGAAGAAGGTGAGCTTCCTCTGCATTTAATGCCTTTTTCAATTTTTCATGTTTCTTTTCCTCATCATCACTCTCTGAGCTGCTCTTTCAGTGCTTCTTATTTTTCTTCTTCTTTTTCACCTCTTTTAGTTTTTCCTGGTGCATCTCCATGAAGGTTTGAGGATTTTTTTCATAGGTTCTTCTCCAGTTATATCATTTGTAATACATTCCTCTGGTAAGCTTTTTTCCACAGTACCAGTGATCAAACTCAGGACCTTGTGCTTGCAAGGCAGGCATAGCACCACTGAGATGAATCCCCGGCCCTTACATTCCTCTGAATTAATAATCTCCTTCCTAACTTCCCCTGTATAATAGGAATACTTGAAAAATGAGTGGCAGCATTTGTATCCCCATCTGCCCACTTTCCAGTTAGATTCCCCAGATATGTATGTGATTATTGATCTTCACATGTTCCTCATACTTGGAGCAGGAAATAGCCCACTTCTGTCCTTTAATGACTGTGCCATGTCCTAAACACTCCACATAGTCTTCAGTCTGAGCTAAGAGCAATTCACCTGGTGATGCAACCAAGTATTCTTGACCACCATACTTTCCAGGATGCTCTCTTTCTGCTGTTCTTTAAAAAATTTTTTTTAATTTGAAGGACTTATAAAACAGATCTAGCTTTGTAGGATCTGCCTGCAGATGAACTTCAGATCCTTTGTTATAGACTTCCCAAGCAAACAACTGTGTCTGAG